CTACAAATCCCATCCCCACCAGGGAAGTCCTATCTATCCTCCTCTGCGGCTGGGCACTTCAACGCCCATGCTCATGATTTTGGAGGACTACAAATCCCATCCCCACCAGGGAAGTCCTATCTATCCTCCTCTGGGACTGGGGACTTCAACTCTCATGCTCATGATTTGGGGGGACTACAAATCCCATCCCCGCCAGGGAAGTCCTATCTATCCTCCTCTGGGACTGGGGACTTCAACTCTCATGCTCATGATTTGGGGGGACTACAAATCCCATCCCCGCCAGGGAAGTCCTATCTATCCTCCTCTGCGGCTGGAGACTTCAACTCTCATGCTCATAAGTTGGGGGGACTACAAATCCCATCCCCCCCAGGGAAGTCCTATCTATCCTCCTCTGCGGCTGGGGACTTCAACTCTCATGCTCATAATTTTGGGGGACTACAAATCCCATCCCCCCCAGGGAAGTCCTATCTATCCTCCTCTGCGGCTGGGGACTTCAACTCTCATGCTCATAATTTTGGGGGACTACAAATCCCATCCCCGCCAGGGAAGTCCTATCTATCCTCTGCGGCTGGGGACTTCAACTCCCATGCCCATGAATTTGGAGGACTACAAATCCCATCCTCGCCAGGGAAGTCCTATCTATCCTCTGCGGCTGGGGACTTCAACTCTCATGCTCATGGTTTTGGGGGACTACAAATCCCATCCTCGCCAGGGAAGTCCTATCTATCCTCTGCGGCTGGGGACTTCAACTCCCATGCTCATGAATTTGGGGGGCTACAAATCCAACCCTCTCCAGATTGGGTGAGAACTACAAATCCCATCCTTCTCCAGATTGGGGGATTTAAATCCTTTGTAGTTGGGGACTCCAAATCCCATCTCCTGCAACTGGGGGAGTTACAAATCCCATCCTCTCAAGTTAAGTTCTCCTGCGGCTGGGGACTTCAACTCCCATGCTCATGATCCCACCCTCCCCAGATTGGGGGAACTACAATTTCCATCCTCCACAGATTGGTGGTGGTGGGGGTTATAAATCCCACCTCCTGCAGATTGGATTTAAGTCCTATCCTTCGAAGCTGGGGACTCCAAATCCCATGCGCCACTACTGGGAGGCACTACAAATCCCACCCTCCACAGATAAGGGGACATAAGCCCAATCCTCTGCAGCTGAGGACTTCACCTCCCACCCTCATCAGCTCGGAGAACTACAAATCCCATCCTATGGAGATTGGCGGAACTACAGACCCCGCCCTGTATAGATGGGAGGAACTACAAGCCCTATCCTCTGCAGTTGGGGACTCCAAAACCCATCCTCTTGCAGCCTGCACAGGACGGTTTTCTCCAAAGCGTGCAACTTTCCCCACCTTTTGAGGGGGAGAATGCAGAACACCTGCAGCTTCCTGGAGGACTGCTAACCCCATCGTCCACAGCCAACATGGGGCTTTGCAGAGGAATTCTGGGAGTTGAAGTCCACCAGTCTCAAAAGTTGCCAAGTTGGGAGATCCCTCCTGCCAATAAAATTGTTTTCTCAACGTTTTGTCCTTGAATCTCCTGTTGTTGTTGTTTGGATGCAGCCCGACAAGTGTGTGCCTCCGTGTTGTGTAAACACAGCCTTGTGCGTTCTTTTGTTCTCTCCTTCCTCTGTATTTATACCTTTTGATTTTTCTCTCCCTGCAGGGGGGCAACAATGCTGGACACACCGTTGTGGTCGACACGGTGGAATATGATTTCCATTTGTTGCCCAGCGGGGTGATCAATCACAAGGCCACGTCGTTCATTGGTGAGGCTTCATCCCTGTGTCCGTGCAGGTAGTCCTTGAGTTACGACCACAATTGAGCCCAAGATTTATGTTGCTAAATGAAACATTTAAGTGTTGCTAAATGAAACATTTAAGTGTTGCTAAATGAAACATTTAAGTGTTGCTAAATGAAATATTTTAAGTGTTGCTAAATGAAATATTTAACTTGCTAAATGAAACATTTAAGTGTTGCTAAATGAAATATTTTAAGTGTTGCTAA